AATTTCATATAAGCCACAAATCAGGTTATCCTCGCGATAATAACCCTAGCGTGACTTCGTCAACGCATAGGGCTATAATACTACACTATGATAGTAAATCATTTGGTATCTAACACCCCAATAATGTGTATAAGAATTTTTTGCGCTTTCGTCATCTCTTTCTAGCAAAAGAAACTTCTTTTGCAAAATTGGTACACCTTAAAACAATCTCTAATGTTTTTTTAAGGGCCACCCAACATCATAAAGTTCCATGGCATTTCGAGAAGTAAAAATTTAAAGAGTGCATGTTGTATATTTGAATGATATTGTCGTGACTGAAGTTGGCACCCGACTAAAGTTGGAATTTCAGGTGCCTGAAGTTGCACTTGACTGAAATTAGCCCTGAAGTTAGATCATCCTGCACGCACTAGTTAGCTGTTTTAGGCAGGTGCCAACTTCAGGTACCTGAAGTTCCAACTTCAGGCAAATGCTAACTTCAGTCACGACAATATTTTAAAATTCAGATGAAAAGACAAATAATTTTATGTTGGTACTATAATATGCCAATGGTGGTAACCTGCGAGAACATTTAAGAAGGAAACAAAAGGAAGGCATATATAAAATCTTATGGACTGAACTCATCAGAATTGCAATAGAAATTGCACTTGGGTTAGATCATCTACATGACAAAAATATAATTCATAGAGACCTCGTTAGTTTGTTTCTTTTTATATACAGTATTCTAATTTCTGACTAATCTTATTTATTCAAATTATTATTATTTTTTGGGTTTTTTTTACATAAAATCTAGCATTCTACGAATTTTTTGATACATGATGGTAGTGCCTTTATTACAGACTTTGGTTTATCAAAACAATTAGATGGTCCTACTTCTGCTTCAAATTCTGGTTTAAAAGGCATAGCAGCATATATTGAGCCACAGTACTATATTCAAGGTGGAAAAGATGTTAAAATCGACAAAAAATCTGACATCTATAGCTTGGACGTATTGCTTTGGGAACTTACAAACGGAATCTCTCCATTTAATGCATTGGATGATTTTACTATAGTTTTAAAGATTTTATACAATCATAGGGAAGAAATTATTACTAGTACACCGCAAATTACGCCACATTCTTCAAAAGATGTTGGTCATCCAGCATTGAACGATATTTTGCCCGAACTCGAGAGGTTATCAAAAGAAGCATTATCATGAATGTTGTTAATTGTGATAGAAAAGTTACACAGTTAATTCCGAAACTTCAGTAAAATCATTGAACTCGGTTCTTTCAAATGACAGTGACATACCTTTCGAAAACACTTCTATATTTATAATGGTTGTATAATTATTTTAAATAAATTTAAAGTAACTTTGTTAAAATTATGTTAAGTATTGAAAAGAACAATCTTAATCTATATAGTTAAATAGATTGAAGTATAAGTTTAATTATTAAATTTTTTATGTGCTTATTATTTTAATGTCTACACGAATTCTATACTGAAAATTATTTGCTTTAGTATGTGAAACACATAGTATACAAATAAAAATTGTCTAAATCAAATAAATACAAAATTTTCATTGGTTAATTTTAGTGATTACATTTATGAAAACCATTTGGAATAATAATTAAAGAATTACTCTCAAAATATATATTTTATTTTAGAATATTTTTTGTTTATTAGCTATGTCTAAGATAAATCATGTTTTTAACTTCCCCCTCTCTTCTTTTTGATATATTTCGATATTTGGATTTTTTGATTTATTTCAAATGTTATATAATTATTGTAAAGATACAATTTTTTTAAAGTATAATTCTTGCATAGTGCATTTGCTAATGCTCTTCAAATCCAATATTATTAGATTGAAAATCCAAAGAAGTTAATGTAGTGCCCTTGCAAAGTGCATCTGCTAATGCATTTCCACTTTCTGATTTAAGATTATTATCACCAAGATTCAAAGAAATCAGCATAGTGTTCTTGCAAAGTGTATCTGCTAATGCTTTTCCTCTTTCTGATTTAAGATTATTATTAAGATTCAATTCTTTCAGAGTGGTGTTCTTGCAAAGTGAATCTGCTAATGTTTTTCCTCCTTCTGATCCAAGATAATTATATCGGAGATCCAAAGAAGTTAGGGCAGTGTTTTTACAAATTGTATTGGCTAATGCTTTTCCTCCTTCGGATTTAAGATTATTAGATCTAAGATCCAAAGAAGTTAGAGTGGTGTTTTGCAAAGTGCAGATGCTAATGCTTTTCCTCCTTCTGGTCCAAGATTGTTATTGAAAAAGATTCAAAGAAATCAGCGTATTGTTCTTACAAAACGCATCTGCTAATGCTTTTCCGGGACACTTGAAGAATAGTTAACCCAGTGATAATCACATCACGTGAAACAATGCAATGACGTCATTTGTTTACTAAC